TCTCCGCCATCTTGATGTAGCAGAAACGGTCTCTCCATCCCTTGTGGGACGAGGGCACGTCATCAAAGAGCCTCCAGGGGGCTAGCTGCTGCAGGTTTGCAAACCCTTCGGAATTAGTGTGCCCCCCCCGGCACAGGTTGAAGCTTTGAAAAAACAGGTCGAGGGTTGCGGTTACCCCCCGGGAGCGGCAAAGTTGCAGGAAGCCGGTGATATAGGAGTGGCTGTTTGGGGTGAGCTGGCAGGGGGCTAAACCCACATACCGCAGATACTCGAGGAGGAAGGGATGCAACGGAAACCGGAGGCCCATGGCAACTGACAGCACATGGACCGCGAAACACCCTTCGGGAGCTTGGGACAAGAGGTCGTTGGGTCCCGGTTCGATGACAGTGGCCGAAGGGCCCACATGCAGCTGAGTGACATAACACTCTGCCCGGTCAGCCCTCGATTTCAGCGCAAGGGCGGCAGTATTCAACCATGAATGCCCCTCGGGTATCCCCACGGGCTTCCCACAATCCACTGCGATTTGCTTGTTCTTCTGAGTAGCCTTCGTCTTCCTCCTCTTCTTCCCCACGGCAACGCTAAGGGGTTCCGGGTCCAATGGCCGGGAGGTGCTCGCTTCGCCGGAACCGCGAAGTGGGAGGACAGCAATAGTGACTTCTTGCCTCTCCTTCTCCTCCTCTTCTTCCGCTACCTGCAGCGCGAGGGCCATTTCTTCGTCCTCGATCACCTGCTCGAACTCCTCCGCCTCCAGCTCAGTGCGAAGGCTATCTTGGACCTCTTCAGCGACAGCTGAATCGTTGTTCGCCGAGGACTGCTCGCTAGACGACTCTGCACCCGATAGACTTTCTTGCTGGGCCGATGGCTCCCTCGAGATATCTTGGGAGTCACTTTGCGAGGACATTTTTTCTAAGGATAAGGCGTCCTAGGGAAGAAGGCTACCTAAGTATTTGATGTAAGGCTACTAAGGCCACTAACAATCGATCAAAGGGAAGAACAGCAAGAAGTGCTAAGTGCACGAAGAACAGATGAAGAACTAACCTTATGAATCGGAGTTTGATCGAAGGCAAGGGTTTCTCTCTCTAGAATTTTTGGCAGAGCTTCGCTATCACAAAAAATCGCACAGGGGGAATGGCTCAGGCCTTGGGGTATATATAGGTTTTCAGCCTCGAGAAACGGGCCTCGATTTGAAAAGCCCATCATTACAGGCCGCCGGTTCAACCAATGGATGGCACCCGCCCCCCATATGCCAACGACAATGCGCCACGTGGAACCCACTACCAACGGCTCTATTACAACGGCTATATTCCCCAAACACTAGGGTGCCCTCAAATGGTAGCCTCCGGCTATCGCTCACCACACCCTTCTACCAGTGAATTTCACCAAAACGCCTTCGAGCCAGTAGCAACATAAGCCTTCGGCCTATCAATGTTACCACCCCTCGGGGGCTCGTCAACTCATCATAACTCCTTTTCCCTCAAGTACCTTTCGGCAAAAGGAGTGAGGGACTAGGACACACCCCTCGGGAATCACACCCTTCGGCGGAGACAGAATATCAAAAGCTTCCACAAGTCACTTGCGGAAATGAAGCAGCCCTCATCACAACACGATACATTTATGCTTTCCCCAGAAAACCCTCGACATGTGAGGGACTGAGGGGAGCCCCCAGCGAACATGCGAAGGTTATGAATACCTTCCCTCAGAAAACCCTCGACATGTGAGGGACTGGGGGAAGCCTTCGGCAATCAGCAGAAAACAAGTTCCCCAGCAAAGGCACCCAGCGAGATGATGAAGCCTCCAGAAGAATCAACACATCTACTCCTTTTCCCTCAAGTACCTTTCGGCAAAAGGAGTGAGGGACTCCTGATGGAGTATATGGCCCAGGAACCCCCGGCCCATAGACTCCTACTTCTCCTACACAAGTCCATTGAGCCCAGAGGACATCTCAGGCCCAAATACAACGGCCCAAGCTTCAAAGTAGCCCAAAATACACACTGGGGTGCCTTCGGCCTCCTTGGCCGAAGGCTCCGAAACTCACAGGATAGCCTTCTCTGGCATGAGAAGCTGCTGGGAGAAAACGGGCGAAGACATGAGCCTTCGGCATTCCCATGCCCTCGGCACCAGGGGAAGCCTTCGGCTGAACCAAGCCTTCGGCCACACCAGGGAGCCCTCGGCTGCACAAAGAGCCCTCGGCTACACAAGGAGCCTTCGGCTGAACAGGCTCAATCATCAAAGATTCCTTTTAGAGACAGCCAACCACCGCATTTAATGCCACGTCGCATCCGCCAACCGCATTCAATGCGGTTGACGTACCACTGCCGGTGCCACTAGGCCGATGTGACCCTTCGGCCGTTGGATTACTGACACGTGTCCTCTCATCGCATTTATTGCTGCTATAAATAGCAGCCCAATTCTCCTTGTAATGGACATAATCTACATCTCAACTCCACGCTGAGTTCATTTAATAAAATCGACTCTCTCTCCTCCTATTTGCTCTGACTTCTCTCTAGTTATTTCCGCAATAACCCTTCGGATAAGATACCCTATAAATAAATATGCTCTTTATTAGACTATTAGACTTATTAGTTTTGTAATATGAAATCATGATATCGCATTATCGCCTAAACGCCATAGTAAAAGTTTTTATAGTCATAAGAAAAAGTACGAATATTCAACAACATTTCAAAACCTGCGACATTTGTCTTCGTCATCATCCCCCAACTAACTTCGCGTGGCAAATCTAAACTTCCAATGTAGAAACAAATATGAGCACTCATGTGATGATCATCAACACATTCTCGTTCTAGTGTGTCTTCTTCAACATCATAAACATAAGTTCTCCCACAACAACGAGATATCACCATTACCTTATTCCCATTTTGAGATAGTACATAGTAGTTATTTTCAAGAGTTATACTACTTCCGTCCCCCTAAGTTTGTGACAAAGGGGTGTGATGTGGTTTTTAAGAAAAAGTAGAATTGTGTGGTTGATATTGAATTGATAAAGTGTGAATAAAGTAATAATGAATTCTGGAAAAAACTATTGTTACACATTTTTTGTGCACACACTTACACACTCGTGTCTGTAACGTGTTTTTTTGTCTGTATACAGACAAAACACATTTGAAGTGTCTGTGAAATAAGTTGTGTCTGTATACAGACAAAACAAAACATTCCACAGACACAAGTGTGTAAGTGTGTGTACAAAAATGTGTACCTCAAGCATGGTTGATGAATTCTAACCACTCAAATATTACCAAATATGGTATGAGACAAACTTAATGAGACGGACGAAAAAGGTAAAACGGGACAAACTTAGGAGGCGGAAGGAGTAACTTTTTACTCGTAATGAGTTACGAGAGTTATTATTCCCTCCGTCCCAGGGGCGGAGCCAGCACATCAAAGAAGGTTGGGCCGTATCCAGGAAGAGTGCTCTAACCAATTAAACTTGACTTTTATATGATTGAAGTTTTAGTTGGTAAGGACGATATTAAACATAGTCGTCTCACTTCATTCCTTTTAATTTGTGGAAAGGTCGATTGGATATTTTTTTATTTTCCTCATCTCTTTGAATCTCAACTAGATTAAAAGATGAAAGATTTTCAACATTAGAAATATTTTGATCAGCTTGGTGCTCGTTGGTACCTTCTCTTTGTACACTACTTGCTGCAGTAGTCGATCTAAAGAAAGAATGCGAAATTTCTTTGAATGAGGTTGTTATGTACCTATATTCTCTTCTATCAAATCGAAATATTTTACAAAAATCATTACACATTATTGAATTGAAATTAAATGAAATAAAAATTTAGTAAGACAAGAATAATTTTGTAGTTAAGAAATATAAACAAATCACATATTGCGTATAACGTACTCCGTATAAATTATGATTAGAAATTGACAATATGTTACACAAAAAAACAATACAAACTCTAACCAATTACGAAGGAATATATTAAAGGTAGATTTCATAATTCATATATTAGAGTTATAAAACTAGCCTTAATTTATTAAAGCGTTTCGTTACTGGACTAAGGAAAGGCCTAAGATTCGTCAATGTTTGATTGCTTGACTAGGATTTTGGCCTAAGATTCAATTTTAAAATTTTTGTTTTGATGATTTTCTACCTTTCTTTCTTGGGATAAGGGTCAGATAGGGCCTCGAACTCAAAAAAAAATGTCAAATAAGGTCATATTTAGGATGCTCTTTCCGGCCGACGCCATTTGGGGCGGTTCCAGATGCCATTTTTTGATGAATTTTTTTCAGCATCTTCCTCATTAAGTCTAGTTTACCCATACCAAATTTCAGCTAAAAATTCAATCGGGAAGATAGTCAAATGATTTTTTGAAGATAATTGTGAAGTTAAACAACCCCGTACATTTCGGAAAATCATTTGACTACCTTCCCGGTTGCATTTTTAGGTGAAATTTGGTATGAGTAAACTAGACTTAATGAGGAAGATGCTCAAAAAATTTCATCAACAAATTCCATCGGGAACCACCCCAAATGGCGTCGGCCGGACAGAGCATCCTAAATATGACCTTATTTGACATTTTTTTTCGAGTTCGAGGCCCTATCTGACCCTTATCCCTTCTTTCTTTTTCTTTTACACGGGCACAGTCTACTTCTATCATGGAGAGGCAGCCACGCAAGGAACATTGGGCTGACTTTTTTTTACCACTGACCCTCTTCTATTTTTATTTATTTTATATACGCTAATTAACATTAGCCCAATTTACCCTGGGTCAGGGCCCAATAAGGCCCTCCCCTCCCTCCGCCTGCTCCGTCTCCTTTTAAATGTCCTGAAAGAGGGTGACACGAGTTTTAGGAAAAATGAGTTTGTGTGGTTCATATTAATTGATAAAGTAAGAATGAAGTAAAAATTATTTTGAGCCACACAAACTTTAAAAGGGAACGCTGAGAGCATAATATATCAAATAAAAGGCATTTCGGTGTTCTATAGTCTATGTCCTCAAAGTTTCTCGGGTCGGTTGACCACTTGTCCCTCTTGGATTCGCCCCTAAGTCCAACGTTATAACTAACTCATTCTAATGACTAATGAGGCCCTTATCAAAAAAAAGTTGGGTTTAATTTTTTGTTGCACAAAATCACAAATGGTACGAATATCCCTCGTCATAGGCTTTATATAGCAGGATATTTAATTGACATCATTAAATCAAAGCAACATTATATTTGATCGATGAGTACATACATTATACATACAGTGTGGCTTAGCTTCAGGATATGATTATATTAAGAATTTAAGATCGAGGAGATATACTTGATACATACAGAGAAACATATATAAGAATATATAGATCGGCACATCAAAATATAATAACGATTTAAATTAAACTCCATTCAGCAGCACGGCGTAACCAGAGGCGGCGGAGTAGTGGCGGTATTTGCCATCTTTTTCATAACAGCCGCCCCCGCCTCACCTCCACAGGCGGCGGGGCGGAAGGAGTAGCTGCCGCGGCAGTCGCATTATTTGTGGTGATTTTACTGTCGGAACAAACCAAGGAGCCCAGCTTAACAATGTCTATCACCATTTGTTCCTCCTTCAGCTCAGCAAGCTGCTGCTGCTGTGTTAATTTGTCATTATTAGTGCAGTAATTTTCTTCTTCTGGAACTGTTAGTGATGGGTTTTGCACTAAGAACTCAGGGACTTTCTGATCTGCAATGATCGTTGGCTTCTTGGCGGCGCTGTTCTTATACATGGCGTACAACACTATTTGAAGAATCCCAAAAATGAATCCCAATACGTTCGGTATCTGAATTAAGAAAATATCGAGTTAAACATATACCAAATTAGTTATGTTTGATTTGACCCAGGCTCCTCTGTCATAACATAATCTTTCAATTTGTTTTTTTGACATAGATTAAGAAAGTGAAAATTATACCCCAGATCGGAGAGTTACAGAGGGAGACAAAAGTGTAAGAACCGCAAATTCTTTTTCAAAAACAAAAAGTGAAGATTATTTTGAGACAAAGCGAGTATTTGATACGGAGTAGATGGCTACTGTTTCATTTATACTACTCGTTCTTCGAATTTAATTGAAGTACTAAGCATGTTTTTAATGGGGTTGAATTTTTTTAGTCTGATAAAGTCTAGTTCAGTCTAGTTTGATACATGTTTGTTCTATATGTATTTGACAATTATTGAGGTATGTTTTAGTCTTGTTTGATCAAACATGATCAATTTAATTTTGATTTGATCTTAATTATCTGGCCTATTAAAATCTGATCGAATCTAATCAAAAAACATGCTAATGAACATGTGAGTATTACTCTAGTGACTTTTGATGTGATTAATACATAATTGATTTCTTTCTGACAAAGAATCGTGTGAGAAGTGACGGAAATTTAGGTAGGTGGAATAACGAGGGACATTACAAAATGTGGGCAAAATCAAGATATTTTCTTTTGGACTGAAATTTGCGTATGATCTGATCTGGTCTGATCCGGTCTCTGTATTTTATAACTATGGAAGTCTGATCTGGTCTGGGACGGAAACAATACAAAAGAAAACATTCTCAAACACACAAACTAAATGAGAGATAAATATGTGTTAAATATCCCACACCAGAAATATGTGTTAATAATCCTTGTAAAGGTAAAAGTTGAAATTTTCTCTTTTCAACTTTCCTTGTTTATTTGTGAGAAAATAGTATCGTTTTACATTTAAAGTGGTGATCCTGTGATTAATTAATCTTTTGATACTTTTCTTCACAAATTTAACCACACCATTTTTTTTTGTGTGTGAGAAATTAAATTAAATTAAATTGAACGTCTTCTTACTGCAATATTGAAGTCTTTTAGCAGTAGACCATAGAAGAACCAGGCAACAGCACTCATTGTGAGGAAAACGGATAGCAGAAATGGCATATGCTCCACGCTCTTCGTACGGACAACATGCGTCTGCACCCATAATTACATAGTTACATACATATAATACGACATAGAAATCAATTAATGAGGGGAAATTACCAATTTAGTTTCGTGTTGTCACGAAAAAGTCAATTGAATCCTCAAACTCTAAAAAAATCGATTAGATGTCAGAACTTTGAAAAAATGTTCAATTAGGCAATTAGCAAGTTACCTGTCATGCATGTCAGCAGGTCGCCGACTGACATGACGCACATGTGGTGGTCAATGTGCGCGCCACATCATAGATAAATGTCTACTAAACTTCCACGTGATGCACATCAACAAAGTCACTATTTACTAGGTTGTCACATGTGTGCAACATCAACAGATGACTTGTTAATTAACATGCTGGATAATCTATTAATGGACTCAATTGAACGTTTTTACAAAATTCTGATGATCGATTGATTTATGTTTTTTCAAAATGCAAAACCTTAATTAACTTTTTTCGTGATAGATATTGTTTGTGTTAATGGTACACGTGTGCGTATGTGTACGTATAGGAAAAGATGTAGACTTACGAGAATGCATAAGGGAGCGACAAAGACACAGAGAGAGAAGACAAGGCAAATCCACCCCACCACTTGTGCACGAATTGCACCTTTGAAAGCAAACTGCGTGACAAGAACTATGGCACCAAATCCGCCAACCACCGACAACATTAGCAACTTCATCGTCTGTATCTGCAAAACGTTATTCCAACCGTACCCATCCCATCCATTTAGTTGGCTACATATATACCACAAATTTGAGTGGGAATATGGTGACATTTTTGCAAACAAGAACATTTTACATACTACCCGCCGTTCCTAAAAATTCTTCCCGGTTTGAATTGGCACGCTTATTAAGAAAGTGGAAATGTGTGGTTGTGGTTGTGTAAGAAAAAGGTAAAATGAATGTGAGCCACACAAATTGTCCAAAAGGGAAAGTGGGAAGAATTTTTTGGAACGGCCCAAAAAGGAAAGTGGGAAGTATTTTTGGGAACGGAGGGAGTATTTACAACAGTGTAGTATTTGAACAGAAAAGTGCACCGTAGCACATTAATTAGCGCTATAAAGTGACAATTTTGCATCTTACACGCGCGTTAAACTCCGTTTTTATTTGAATTGCGCTAATATTACTTCTGGAAAGTTAATGGATAAAAATGTGATTTTGATAACTTTTATGATTATGATTGTGTTCAAAGTTATTATGATGCAGTGACTATGATGTAAGTTTTGAACACGATTATAGTCACTAAAAATTACTAAATCACATTTTTATCATAAGTTTTTATTAGTAATATACTAATATTGTTTGAAAAATCTCTCAAAACAAATCATAATATTAAAAATACTCCCTCCATACTCTCTCAAAAAAGTCCCGTTCATTTTACACACATTTTAAGAAAGTGAGGTTGGTTTGACCGTTTGACATGTTTGGATACAGTTTTAATTTGTACAGTTTTGGACTGTTTTGTTTATCATCCGGTGCACTACTCATTCATACATCCGTTTCACAGATTTTTTAATCATACTTAGTGTCAAACTTAGCGTCAACTTTTTTGGACTCAAAAGTTAATAAAGTTTGATAACATGACACTTTACCTTTAATGATTACTAGTGCATGGACGGGTAGAGGGGCATGAGGAAAAAGATAAATGTGACTTTGTACGTATATTAAAACGGAAAGAAAATTAAAACACGAATTTTAACCAAAAAGCTAGTACTTGGCAAAAAGAAAGTCACTTTCAGCTTGGGAACATGCACGTTAAAATGGAAAGATGTAACTCGGACATACTATACATAAAGAATAATATTTGTGTGCAGGCTAGGGACGAATCCAACAATCTGGGATGTAAATCAATTATACTACGTATTAGATTTAAACGTTAGAGCATGGGTTAAATATGAAAATGAAAAGATTTACATTGAAAGAAAAAAATAGTTTCTCTGGACTTCAGTCCACCATAGTTTATACATAGATTTTTACCTGTTTGTGTGTTTCGAACTTGTTCATATTTCACGTACAGATCTAATATACTATCGTACATGTGTATCACTATTGAAAGTAGGGTTTTTTATAAGAATATTACTAAAATAAAATTTATTTACATAAATATGACTATTCATTACTTGTTGTGGTAACTAAAGTTCAAAACTTGAACATGAATTACTATGATTTCATTACTACTCTAGTAACTAATCATATTTTTGTAAATCATCTTTATTTTGGTCATATTTATGCAATTATTTCATATTTTACGTACAGATCTAATATACATGTGTATCACTATTGAAAGTAATTAATTAGTAATAACTGAAAGTTAATTAATTAATTAATTACCCTGGATTTTTTTGAAGAGTAGAAGAGAAAGAAGGCAACGTAGAGGGTTTCGATGAAGCAGCCAAAGGAGTTGATCGTAATGAGAAGAGTCGTGTTGGTTTTGAGAAAAGCATAGTAAATCCAAAGCATAGCACTGAAGAGAGCAACCACATATGGTATTGATTGAAATCCCACTGTAGATTTCTTTTTGTATATTTGATAAAAGGTAGGCCTGCATGCATGCATGGAATATTATATAAAGTCAAAAGGCCATAATTACTGAATTAGCAATTCATTCATTAAAATATGTATTCAGAACTTAAATGAGCAAGGAGTACTCACATTGGAGCAAGAAATACGAAGAAGGATATGATATTTCCTGTTAATTTCCAGCAAAGCAAAGGTTAATAATATCATTTTTTATTTAAAAAATGTTTCATTTTTCTAAACACAAATACAAGATGTAACTCTATATATAATGAAGAAAAATATCAATTCACATACAAGCTAATTAAATTTGCGTGGAAATAAAAGTGTACAAGTCCGTACAAAACAAACTTGTACATGCAACAGGGGTTACACGGCCCGGCGGACACTATTTATATTTAAAGAAATCAGAAATGTATACTCCAAAGTATATTTCTCATGCTCGATCAAAACAATTAAGTGGTCACTTTTTCCCGGATATTCCAAAATAAAGGTATTCTCATTTCTACAAAAAGTAATAGGAAGGTGTGTTACAAAAAAAAACTTGCCTTTTACATACTTTTGCTTTGAATTGATATAAACTAGTGTAACCAAAAATTTAAACCAAACTTTGTAAATTTGTAGACTTTGTAGGACTGGATGACTGATGGAGTACAAAAAACATTGCTAGCATCGATAGTTGTTATTCTCCGGTTAGAACTTATTTTTAAAATTATAAAATAATTCAAATGATTCTTAAAAGCAAAATCTGAGTTGAATACGCGAAAGAGTTGGAGGCAGTAGGCAGGACTTTTATATATCGCTTTGGTGCATGCGAGAAGAGCTTTTAATCTTTTTAGGTTGCGGTTGTCTACACTTTGAAATCCAGAGGTCCTTTTATTTATTTTTTCTTATGGCTATGTTTGGCAGACATAAGTATATGACTTCTAGCTTTTGTACTGTTCAAAAAATCTCTAAAAACTTCTAGTTATATGTTTGACATGACAATTTATAAGAGCTTTTCAATACAGGCTGCATCTATAAAAAAAAAAAATATAAGAGTTTTTCAAAAATTAAAAGATCTTTCTTGAGATGCTACAGGCTGCATCTAAAAAAAGCCTGTGACTTTTAGTATTAATTAGGTCTAACAGCTTGTATACCAAACCGAACTAAATCAAACAGTCAGCTTCTTAGCAAACAGCTACCACCTTTTCTTTTTAAGATCTTTTCAGTCACTAAAAGCTAACAGTTATTAAAAAGCTCACAAAAGTATCTTTTTAGCTAGTTGTGCCAAACATACCCATAATCTATTTGATGTGCCTATTTAGACTAGATTGGAAAAGTATTTTAATTTACGACCAAATTTCAAAGTGGGAAACTCCTGTAGGATATAATATTTGGATTTTAATTTAACTAGGCGCATAATAAACACCCACTTTGTTATGATTACATACGAGTTTATTCGAATATGAAATCCAATCTGAAAATTACTTTTCTAACTATTTCTATTAAAACTATTTCTAACTATTTTTATTATTAAAAGCTTCTAATATGAATATTCTAGTTGAGAGGTACTATTTACTGGAGAACAACTACCCAATCTAGTACTCTCTCCATATCAAATAAATCACTCTTTTCGTTTTTTACATAATTTAGATAATGCGAGTTTATCGTATTGTAGTTTATTTTAAAGTTTCTTTCCAAAGGAAAATGAAAAAATAATTTGATATAGCTTGAAAAGAAAACTCGGTAGTTATTTTGATACGGAGGATGTACAAACTATAAAAACTCATTATTAAAATGTACAAGATCAGATTGAGATATACGAAGTATTTCATACTCCGTATCACAATAATCATTATGAAATAGGGGCATCACAGGCCCGTCAACATGGTGTATTATTTTAAAATATAGGAAAAATCGATAGTAATAATCCTAATTATTGACGGTTCGCTCAGTGGCGGAGCCACCATTGTTCAAAGATGTTCAAGTAAACACCTAAAATAATGAAAAATACTAGTATACATATATAAATTTAATATAATTATTTATTGTTCTTTAATTGCACAAAGAAAATGAACACCCAAAATCTCAATTGTAAATCCGCCACTGGGTCCGCTTATAATAATTCCAACTATCAATTATCTTAGAATAATCCCAACTTTAGGACCTTCTACCAACAATGATCCCTATAAATAAATTCATGTAGTTTCTAAAGGGGATGAGAAGAGATATAACAAGTAATCCCTATAAATAATCCCAATTTTTAATTTTTACGCTTAATTTCTATTGAAAATTCACTTGTTATAAGAAATAGTATTTTGTCATGGATCATTATTGGCGAACGGACCATATAGTTGGGATTATACAAAAATAATCAATAGTTAGGATTATTGTCAGCGGACCGGCAATAGTTGAGATTAATATTTTCAATTTTTCCTAAATTATATAATTCACTTAACTTTGCCTCTTTTAGAGAATACTTATGGTACATCATTATAGGGATATTTTGACGTCGCATGCATCGCGCTTTTTGGTTGATATTGATTTTTAAATTTGCATCATGTATTTCTTAAAAAAGATTTTGACTTTGCACCCATTCAAAAATTTTTCTTCACATAATGTTATACGATAGGGTGCAAAGTTTGTTATTATTAAAATGATGTGTAAAGTCCAATATCCCCAAAAAAAGTGGGATGCAAAATCAAAATTCTCCATCATTGTATTATAATCAATGATGACAAACCTTCTTACACCTCTTGTTGATCGAAATACATGTACGGAGTAGTAATTAAAGGAGGCCATATATATGCAACAATTGAAACAACACTTTTTGGTGGTTATAATTACTACTGTAAAACAGTTTGATAACCAAATAAAGTAGTTAATATACTACGTAATAATACATTAAGTAGTAATTAAAGTAATTAAATTACCACATATGCCAAACGCAAGAGTCCAATGATCACCCGAGAAAATAGCCATGCTTCAATTCCCAAGTACGTACAATTAGCTAGCTTAAGCTTACTAATGTTGAGATTAGAAGATAAGAGTACAGCTAAGAAGCTAGATTTGCTTGACAATGAAATGACGAGGTGCATGCTTAATCTATTTATATAGGGGTGGCAAAGCACTCAAACACTTCTATAAGCGCATGATATGTATTTATTATTATTTATATCTTTAATAAAATGCACAATACATTTAGCAAAGTTAAGTGTCTTTTTGGTAGGCAATTGAGCATAATAGTCAAAATAATCACATGATCAAGTGTCTTTAACTTACATATTTGACGAATTCTATATTATGGTACTTCAATTAAGATAACGCACCTTGTTTTAAAGCATCAATTAGAATATACTACGTATATGCAATTGATCGAACATTTAAAAAATGAATCTATCAATTCAATGATGATGAGATATTAACTTCGATCAATTAAATCTAATGCAAGTAAGATATTCTCATTTAATTGTGAGATATCGTAGCATTCACCTACTTATTTTTGGCTAAAGATTTATCTCAATTTTACTAAATAATTACGTTGCACCGTATTCTTAGGAAATTTTATAGATCGAGTAAAATCAATAAAAAAAAAAGGCTTACCAAACACTACGCTCAAACACTTGCTGTATATTCATAGGTGAAATGCACATTATTCCCAGTAGAGGCCGTTTTTACAATTTAGATTAAAACCGCTAAAATTTAAAATTTGTGATTAAATAATATTTTATCGAATTTTGCAATTTTTTTGGCATGAGAGCATTTCTAATGTAATTTAATAATGTGTATAGTGGACATGTGGTATGAGATATACAGACACATTAAATTGAATTATGAAGTTTCTCTCTTTATTTGACGGCCTTCTAGATTTTAATTATTTTATATCAACAATGTCAAGCATAGTGTCTACATACATTTAGATGTTATATGTGATACTACATTATATTACATGCGGAATAAAATTACCAAAATTTGATAAAATTTATTGAATAAGGAGGAATTAAACTTAATAATTTGATAAATTTTGATATCATGTCACGTGTGCACCACACACATTGTTGTGTTGGAGATGCCTTTATAACTAAATTTTCAGAGCTTATAAGGAGATAGATTTAGGATGTTTTCTTTCGGACTGAAATTTGTTGGTCTAGTTTGGTCTGAACTGTTCTGGTCTGGTCTAGTAAACGTCTGGTCTCTGTGTATTTCATAACTACGGAAGTCTGGTCTGGTCTGGTCTAGTAAACGTCTGGTCTCTGTGTATTTTATAATCACGGAAGTCTGGTCTGGTCTGATCTGATCTGGTCTGGTCTGGTTAGAGACTGAAAACAGTTCAAAAGAAAACATCATTAGATGTCATAGAACTCGATATAGTGATTAGTCTTATATATCCTACTAGTTATAGCTTAAATTCTATCTTTCTATTAGCTTTTGATATTCAATGCACTTTTAACAATAACAATTAAATACGTAGTAGTTATTCAACTACTACGTAGTTATACTACGTATGTAGTAGTTACTTATTACGTACGATTTACTCCTTATATAATACTCCGTAAATTAAAGCAAATGAGTTGAAAATCAAGCATCTTCAATATAATCCCGTGACACTAGTAAGTTATTAGTATTTGTAATAAAATGAAATTAAAATTTGTGACTTTTAATGCAAAAAGGCACAAGCAAAAAGTTTTGGTCCCACCCAAGGCCTTTATTAGGTCATTAGCCCCACGAAATGGCACTATGGCTTAATACGTGACACTCGCTTTATAAACATGGAAGTGTTTGCGTCTTTCCTTGTTTTGATTTATTTTTGTGGCCTAGAAAATAATTGAATGAGTCGATGACCTCTTGCCATTTGGAATCAATAATTGAGGCAATTGGATTGTTGTTTGTACTATTAATTTCCCATCATATTAGAGGACATGAATTTCGGCAAAATATAATGGGTGATGTAATTAATGATCAAGAGATATATGCGTATGTGCTTTATAAATGTGCTTTAGTTTTATTTTGTTTTCAATGGTCTTATCTATTCTTTGTGGCTATGTGACTTATAGAGAGAATTATAGGGTTGGACTAGGAGTGAAATGAAAGGTGATGATATAGAGTAGCCTACTCGCCTTTGTCTTCTCGTGAAAATGTGAAATAGGTAAAGTGTGTTGTTAAACACTTTGGGTGCGCATGTATGATTAATTTATACTACCTATATAAGTATAATTTCTTTGTGTTAAACACTTTAGGATATACTATATTAACATTATCATTATGATGGTTGTTGGCATTGTTAATTATATTATGTAACATTTTTGAGTTATGAATTCATATACATTAGGTAAAGTGTAATATATGTCGTGAGAAGCTTGTCACCGCTCTTTCACGGTAAAAAGTAACGGAATTGTCATATTTTGTCGTGAATTTGACATGTAGTTTTAGAACACAATGTGTGATATATATATTGTGACAAAATAGTTTGGCATTGGTTTCACATGGATTCACGTATACTACCTACCTTCGTTCTTTTTTATTATAACATATTGATTTTTACACTGTTCGCATGCTCTATTTTTATTATATTTTTAGTGTGTTACTATGTAGTAATTTAGATTTTGAAATCCAAAATTTAAAATAAATTAGTGATCAAATTTAAGCGTTTACAAACGTGAAAATGGAAAATGTGCAACTAAAAAGAACGAATGAGGTATATATGATTTTTCACGCAACTAAAAATGTATATAATAAATAAATACGATTCTTCACGCAATAAACGTGGATATATTGCGACTTTTTAGTCCAACTATATATGTTGGGAATTTCGGTGTTAATTAAATTAGTAGTGCATTTGTCAATTGAGCCAACCTTGCAAAAAATATATATTGGCAGTTTGAATGCAATAATATACTACGTATACCACTATCAGTTTCCCATATATACATACATTATCTAGATCCCCAATTTTCCTTTTGCATCTGATAGATAAGATGATCTTCCGTTATATATGGCTTTATCTCCATATATATTAGAAAAAGAGAATTAATAATTGAGGGAAAAAGTTTGACATTATATTGCAAGAGACAACGAACCCTCCTCCCAAACAGCCTGGCCCTGGCCGGGTCTTCACTTTTAGAGTTTTGAAAGAACGTAACTCAGTTAGTAGCCGCCGCTATAGACATGCAAGCTTTATTTCGATTAATCTCTTCCATTTGCATACGTTTTCTGCGATAGACCCGCTAGAGGGGTCCTGCTGCCCAGTCCTCTACTCCAAAAATCAAAATGCTCACAAATTTAAATCTAGATAAAGTTTTAAACTAAGACTGAGTATGTTTTCCTCACCAAATATAACTTATTTATTAGTCATATTACAAGAATAAAAACTTTCTTTAGATGGGTTCAAATTACAATGCGTAAACAGTGTCTTGGCTACTAATATTGTTGCTTTCTTGGTACGAAAAAAGCATATAAGACGAGCAAAATATCATGCTTAGAGTTCATCATACAATGTTGACATGGATAAAAGTAATGTAAAGTGACTCAACACATGGAATTTAGGCCACCACTTGCCACTTGGTCATGGTGAGTAATTAAGACTGAACCCCTGTTGAGCTTACCTTCAGTGCATCAGGTACTCACAGGGCCATATTATGGCTTCGGGCCTATTTGCCCCAAGCAGTACATGCTCCTTGGTGGGCCAATTACATAACGAGTATGAGTCCACAACTTCTGATATTTTAAAGTATGTATAAAAGCAGCATGTGGTATTCTTGGTGGGTGAGAAGGTATTGCAAAGTATGCATAAAAGGGCGCATAAAATGGGACAAAGAAGTACTCTGTATAATTTTGTCAATGGGGATCCTAGTGTTCCGGCCTTGGTCGTGACACTAAGCATTCAGTTTAGATATAGTTTTACACAATTGCAATAAAGGGTGAACAACCATCCCGATTTTGAACCAGGGCCAATCACCAGTTTACCTCAAAAAACAATCATTTATATTAACATTAGAATCCATGGTATTTATGTCCCAGTTTCTTAAAAATAGGACCCACCCCTACCCCATCTGGCTAATTTGGATTTAAACTAGTCCCCATCGCAATTGCCTTAAATTAAGAATGGCATTTTGCGCATTTAAGGTATTGAACACTAAAAGAATGCGGCATTTTCACACAGCATTTTGGTGAACATGCTGCTTTCCTAACAAAGCTTTGCCTTTTCAAGGTGATAGTCAAAGTGACCTACAGAAGTAGGAGTTTTTGAGTAGCCAACCCACTGTTTCTGCGATCAACTTTTTGCGAGGCTAATACCTGACAGCTTCAACTCATGCTAGACATCCTTTGAAACCTTTCCTCAGTGCAGTTTCATCAAGGTTTCGGCCTATAAAGATAAGCTTATTTATTCTTTTCTCTTCTGGATCCCAACTCTTTCCTGGGCAGCCATCTAAAACAGAATGGACGCCCTAAAAATGAACAAGAGATTTAGAAATGTGTAACGAATGTGCAGATTTGTTGAATTACAAACCAAACAAACCCCCTTTCACAACCACCCCTCCGTTGTGGCTTTGCTTTACCTGAAATACATATCGCTGTTCAGAACCACTCACGGACAAAACCCCTTTCATCCTGTATAGGTCATCGCCTTTTTCCTCTAGGAGTCTTTCCAGCCAATCATCAACCTATATCATGCAAGATGATAGATATTACTACGTGATATTTTAGGATACCATCGTAACAGATCAATCATACAGGAGGTCCACAATCTTATACTCCCTCCGGTTCTTTTTAAACTTCAGTGTTTGACTTCACAGTTATTAAGGAAATAAAGTTGACTTTACTGTAGAGTACACTGTTGAGACACTGTTTGGCACTGTTGAGACACTGTTTAGCACTGTTTAACACTGTTTTGATGTAGTTTTCTTTGCCAAATAAGGAAATAAGGAAGTGTGAAGTTTATTTTGGACCGTCCCAAAAAGGAAAGTGTGAAGTTTATTTAGAACCGGAGGGAGTACATAAATTTGTCATTTAAGATTTGGCCAATGTGGGATGACTTAATACTCAGGGTTCATTCACACAAAGGATGGTTTTACTTAGACTTGTTTCAATCCTAGATCAGATCAGAACAGACCAGACTTATACAGAACAGAC